GCCGAGCCGAGGCCGGGGTCGCCTGGGGTGCCGCGGCGGCCTCTCCCGTCCGCCCGAGCGCCAGGCTCCTGGCGAGGCCACACTCACCTTGATGCAGAAGAGCAGGGTCACGAAGGACACGGCCACGAAAAGGAAGAGGAAGAAGAGGAGGAACCAGGCGCTCCAGTGCAGCCAGCTGCTGAGCCCCATCATGCGCATGTACTCCTGGGGAGAGGGCCGCACTGACACCCCCGCACCCTGGCCTGCGGCCCGTGCCTCCAGGCGCATGCGCGTGCCACGCCCGGGCCACCGGGGGACTCTCGCGGGTCCCGTTGTGCCGGCATCCCCTGCCCTCCTCCTCCCTCTCCCCACGCGTGTGGGCACCAGCGTTGGTTTGTGAGCCATTTCACGTCTGCCGCCAACCGCGTCATCGCCTCACTTCGCTGCTATTTCCGGTGCCCCAGCAGACGGCACCCCTGAACCCTCTCCCGGCCACCTGCCCGCGCGGCTTACAGGCCCCAGCGATCGCAGATTTGGAGTCACTGAGAATACGCTAAGTATCAATTCACCGGCCCTGCAGACACCGCCAGGGAAGGACTTCACACGGCGTCTGGGTCACTTTGGGCACGTCACTGGGATGAGTTTACAGGTGACGCTAGCACACAACTGTACCCGACTAAGGCAGGGACGTTCTTTGTGGCGACGCTTTCCTTAAGCCCCATCCCAGTGAGCCTGGCGGTCCACACCCACAGCTGTCCCCGATCTGTGCAGAGGGAACGGGCCCTCCGTGAAGGCTGTTTCTCTCTAGAGTGGCTCTGCGCAGCAGAAACGGAATGTGTGTGTATATGATTTAGAGTTTTAGTGGGTGCCTGGGGGGCTAGGCCAGTGAAGCGTCTAACTCTTGATTTCTGTCAGGTCGTGGTCTCGAGGCTCGTGAGTTTGAGCCCTGCATCAGGCTCTGCACTGTCAGCATGGAGCCTGCCTGGGATTCTGTCTGTCTGTCGCTCTGTCTCTCAAAAATAAAGTCAACAAAAACCAACAACTTAGAATTTTACAGTAGCTACGGCCAAAAAGTGAAGAGAAAGCACTGCAATTAGTTTCACAGCCGTGTCTTACTTGACCCAGCACATCCAAACCGTGGTCTTTCCAACGTTTCAGACCTTAGCACGCTGTACGCAAAATGCGGTGCTCTGTCGGGTGTGAAAGATCTGGATGTACTGGGCCTGATTTCACAGAAACCCGGGGGTCACCGGCACCACGGTGGGCGTTCGGCCCACGCCCCGCCTGGATGGCGCGGGGCCGCGTGGGGCAAGGTACCTTCAGCCTCCTCTCCTTCTCCTGCACGACGGCCCGGATGACGGTGAGGGAGCTGTAGGTGAGACTCAGCACAAGCAGCAGGGGGAGCTGGTATTGCATGGCGACGAGGAACGGGTCCGAGATGAAAGGCGGGTAAGGGAACCTCTTGGCGATCACGGTGAGCTTCTCAAACAGCTGGTGCGTGGAGGCGTTTGCGTGGTACTGCATGATGGCCCGGTCCACCGCGTGCTGCACGGCCAGGAAGCCTTCTCGGACGTACCCTGGGTGCGGAGCACAGCACGTCCCGCACGTGGGTGGGCTCGCGTCAGAAGGGCCGCATCACGGGCGCGGCTCACGGAGCCGCGTGCCCTGAGCTGTGCCGGGGTCTCCCTGGTGAACGCGGCCCCGGAGCAACACCACCTCACGCTCCTACGGTGTCCCCTGTCTTCTAGCTTGTAGGAGCCGCCCTCATCTCCAGCCCGTGGCCCCTGACCCACCCCCAACGCCAGCCGGGCGGCATCTCTCTGACCCTCCCGCCTGCCTCCCGCGCCCACTTCGAAGGACCCCGTGACTGCATCAGGTCCACCCAGACAATCCGGCGTAACCAGCTGCTGTCGTGAGGCCCGCTGACTGGCAGCTTCTATTCCATCCCCCCACCCCCCAAGCTAGCACCACAAAGGCAGGCGGAGTCACAGCCCGAAGGCCTTCGGGCGTTGTGCGCGCTCCGTGCTGGACCTTTCCGGCCCCCTCCACGTGGGCGGTCATAAATTCTTCCAGTGAAGGGCCTGGGAAGAGCGGCAGGCTCGGGACAGGGAGCTCCAGTCCCGAGCCTGGCCCGGCAGAGCGGCCTAAAGAAGAGGTGGGCACAGCCACAGGGGAGCACAAGGCAGCCCGAGTCCCCGAGGACAGAGAGGGGCACCCTCATTCAAAAAGTACAGCGACATTTACAACACGACCCAGCGTCCTGGAACACGGAAATGCCAGCAGCCTGCAGCCAGCCCCTAAGGAAAAGAGGAGAAAAGAGCCCAGCACGGCGGGGGGTACCACGTCGCCCTTGGGTTTGAGACTTCTGGGGCTGCGGCAGCAGTTACCGACACCTGCCGTGGTGCTGGATGGGGGTTCAGCTCTTCACAACCCACCTGCAGAGCAGCTGGCCGTGTCTCCGTTGGACACGTGGAGCCACTGAGGCGGGGGAGGGACAGGGCCCCGGGACACTGGTCTTATCACATCACACTGCTGCTCGTGAGGCCTGTCCTGTCACCTCATCTTTGTCACCACAACTTCTGGGGCTGCTCAGCGCTCCGAGGAATGGAGGCGTCACCCTGTCCCCCATCGTCTCCCGCCGCCCGCGGGTCTGTGACCATGGCGAACACCTTTGCACGTGTGCACCCTTCCTCCTTTCTGACTATTCCAGAGGCTGAATTCCCATCAGGGGCTCAGCAGGTCTGAGGTGCGGACACGGGGCCGGGGCAGAGCCCAGGCTGGGGACGCTGAGGGCGTGCTGGGTGCCAGGCCCGCGTCCCTTCCACACCTCAGGGGTCTTTGTGTCCTTGTAACTGGTGTGGACAATGAGTCCTTAACATAAAAATATGTGGACCCCTGTCATTTGCTGAAATGTTTTCCCCAGGCTCCTACTTGCTTTTAACACTGGTGTTGTATGTATGTACCAGCACAAAAGCAGACACACATATCAATGGAACAGAACAGAGAACCCAGAAATGGACCCACAAATGTATGGCCAACTCATCTTCGACAAAGCAGGAAAGAATATCCAATAGAAAAGACAGTCTCTTCAGCAAGTGGTGCTGGGAAAACTGGACGGCGACAGGCAGAAGAATGAACCCGGACCACTTTCTTACAACAGACGCAAAACTAAACTCTAAATGGACAAAAGACCTAAACGAAGCCATCAGAATCCTCGAGGAGAACGCCAGCAGCAACCTCTGTGGCCTCAGAGGGAGCCACTTCTTATAACACATGTCTCTAAGGCAAAGCAAAAACGGACGCTTGGGATTTGCTCAAGTTAAAAAGCTTCTGCATAATGAAGGAAACAACAAAACTAAAAGGCAACTGATGGAATAAGAGAAGACATCTGTAAATGACATATCAGCTAAAGGGCTGGTATCCAAAATCTATAAATAACATATCAAACTCAACACCCAACAAAACAAATAATCCAGTGAAGAAATGGGTAAAGGACACGAACAGACATTTCTCAAAAAAAAAAAAAAAAAAAAGTACTCAACATCACTCATCATCAGGGAACTATAAATCAAAACCACAATGAGATACCACCTTACACCTGTCAGAATGGCTAACGTTAACAACTCAGGGGACAACAGATGTTGGCGAGGATGCGGAGAAAGGGGAACCCCCTTGCACTGCTGGTGGGAACGCAAACTGGTGCAGCCGCTCTGGAAAACAGTGTGGAGGTTCCTCAAAAATTAAAACTAAAATTACTCTACGACCCAGCAATTGCACTACTAGGTATTTATCCAAAGGGTACAGGTATGCTGTATCGAAGGGACACATGCACCCCAATGTTTATAGCAGCACTATTGACAATAGCCAAAGTATGGCAAGAGCCCAAATGTCTATGGACTGACAAACGGATAGAAGAGATGTTGTGTGTGATACACATATATACACACTAGAATATTACTCAGCTATGAAAAAGAAGGAAATCTTGCCATCTGCAATGACGTGGACAGAGCCAGAGGGTATTATGCGAAACAAAATAAGTCAGACAGAGACAAATACAATTTCACTCATACGTGGCATTTAAATAACTAGATAGGGGCGCCTGGGTGGCTCGGTCGGTTAAGCCTCCGGCTTCAGCTCAGGTCATGATCTCACAGTTCGTGAGTTCGAGCCCCACAATGGGCTCCGGGCTGACAGCTTAGAGCCTGGAGCCTGCTTCGAATTCTGTGTCTCCCTCTCTCTCTGTTCCTCCCCCTCTCCTGTTCTGTCTCTCTTTCTCCTTCAAAAATAAATAAAAACATTAAAAAAATTTTAAAAAGAAAATAAAAAACTAAACATAGGGGAACATAGGAGAAGAGAAGGAAAAATAAAATAAGATAAAAACAGAGAGGGAGACAAAGCATATGAAACTCTTAAATACAGAAAACGAACTGGGGTTGCTGGAGGGAAGTGGGTGGGGGAGGGGCTAAATGGGTGATGGGCACTGAAGACGGCACTTGTTGCGATGGGCACTGGGTGTCGTATGTAAGAGATGAATCACTGGGTTCTACTCCTGAAATCAACACTACACTACATGTTAACTAACTTGAAGCTAAATAAAATCTCGGAAGAGAAACAAAACACAAAACAGAGTCATTGGTGTTACGTCTTTTCCTTTTTTGTCAAATTTCAAGTTTGTACCTGGTGCAGTTTGCTGGTCTTTCTCCTGTTGCTTCCAACCTCAGGAAAGCGTCCCCACAAATAGAACAGTCCTGGCCCAGGCAGTGGGTGTGGCTACCCCCCGGTGCATCGTTTAGAGACATTCCTGGGTCTTTCCACCAAAATCTCAAACACGCTCTGCCTCCTACAGGCCGTGGGATCCCGTGTTCTCTGGCTGCCTCCTGGAACCCACGGATGGGTCCCAGCTACTCCTGGCTTACCCCTGGCTCCACTCCATTCTAGAACACAACCGTGCTTGCGAGGAGACCAACAGGTCGACTGCCCACCAAGGTCACACGGGACAGACTGACACACGCAAAGACAGGGTACAACTGGCCAAGATCCAGTTTCTGCAAGCGCCCCACGGATGCAACTTAACCCTGGACAACTACTCAAGGACCACACGGCTTACAAAGCCCATTAGCCTGGACACAGTGGAAGCCAGGGAGAGAAGGGAGGTGTGAAACCAAGCCCACAGATCGGATGCAAACTGACCGAAACACAGAGGTTTCCTTCGAGAGCATGTGCCCCCCTGGGAACCAGAGAGACGGCCTTTGCCATCCTGAGTATTTTAACCTTTCAGAACCCAGTTTTCCAAGAAGTTTCCCTCCTTCTACACAGAAGAAGATCAAACGCTCTTTTAGGAGTATTTCTGCAAAGAAAGGCAAGGTGGGACCCCCGCGATCACCAGGCAGTGGCCCAGTGAGGGATCCAGCCGCTGCCCGAGCTTCTCACCAGGTTCTCCGCCGTCGGGGGACGCGGGTTCCCTTGGTCCTGGGTTTGGGAACAGTGGGAAAAGGGAAGTGGTGTGCCATCCTTCGGTCTCTTTCAGGAAAAAGGAGCCTGTTCGGGTCCACATGTAATTTCTTCGTGTGTAACTGAACCGTAAGTGGTATCTCACCTGTGGGACCAAAGATAAAGCCACTTGCTCTGATTGACAGGCACAGAGGCACACATCCGCGTCAAACCAGAGACCCATCAGGGGGCTCGGTGCCGTGAAGTCACCACCTCTCCTGCCCCTCACCAATGACACAGGGTCCCGGAGCGTCAGAGCGAGTGGTCCCGCCCAGGGCGGCGACAGGGGCCCCGCAGCCGAGCCCCCGCAGTGTTCTCGCCGTCTCGCTATCTACCTACAGGAACTCTGCACCTGAGGCGTCCCTGATAATCGGCGGAGGGCCGCAGAAATAATGCTCGGGGAACTGGACAGTCTTAATTAACCGGGTCTTAATACCATCAGACGGGCAAAGAACTTCCTTTTGTTTGTTTAAATAGATAGCTGAAATTCTAATGCCGGGGTGGGCAGGTCCCAGGTGTCTGCTCCTTTCCCACCTGCCCCATCTGTGCACAGAGGCCTGGAGACGCGGGGGGATGAGAACCTGCAGTGCACTGCCTCCTTCAGGCTTCCTCCACCGTGCAGCCCGCCAGGCTAGCACGGCACCGGGCGCCCTCCGAGGGGCCCGTGACAGTGACGCTGGCCCCTCAGCAAGGCCAGGTATCACCTCCCAGGCTGGCAGAGCCCCTTTGCAGGCCAGGCTTGTTTTGGGGGAGGGAGAGCGGGGCTTTGTGGGGCGGGGTCCTCACCGCCAGCGGCAGGGGCTCCCTGCTGTGGTTGAAGGTGTGCTCGAACACTATGGCGGCCAGCACGTTGGAGGAGCGGTTGTCGTACCTGACGTAGTCCTCAAAGTCCTTCTCCGAGCGGAAGCCCCGAGCTGTGGGAAAGCCGTGAGCTGCCCGAGCGCCCGTCCCACTCAGCACTCTGGCTGCTCCGGGTCACGTTCAGATCAAAGACTGCACAGGTACAGGTTTCCTTTGGGCTTTGTCTGCCTGTCCTCAGGGGTCAGGGAGGCTTTCGTTTTGGGCTGAGAGACCGGCGGCCGAGGGCACTGGTGCCCCTCCCCTGCCCCCCCCCCACCCCATCTCGGAGACTGACCCCGAGCCGGGAGGCTGCGTGTGGGGTCGGGAAGATGTGAGTGGATGCTAACGTAATGTGTCACACGGTTTCTCCGTCACCAGACCCCGCTCCACACGAA